TTAAACAAAATTAGTGGCTCAGCAATCATCAAATCATCACATTCAGCATGCTTAACAAACAATTTTTGTGGAGCTCACCTTTAGGCCCGAAGGAGAGTTCGAAGCTGTCCGAGATTGACGATAAGGATGTCTTCGTTTCTGCAGTAACTAGGGTTCTTCAATGGCTCAGAACACAACAATGGCCGAATAAATCAAACTTTAACAAGTGAACTCATGGCGATTAAAAGGGGCTTACATTCAGCACAACGAAAAAACCGAAGCTCCAGTCTATTATGTAACAATGGCGGCACTCTCCCTGCAAATAGGGCAAAATGGCCGACTGTTCAATTCGATGGACGCATGGAAAATAAAAAATCAGAAGACAAAAAGGCGACTGGACCTCACCTGTAGACGCGACGGAGAATCCGAAGCTAGGGCAAACTGCTCGTCTTCGTTGCTGCAGAACCTAGGGCAAATTGCTCGTATTCAATCTTTGTTCCCCAGAAATTGCGACAAATCAAAATCAAACGAATTTGAAAATGAGAGTAGAAACAACAGAGAAGCTCACCTTACGATTCAGAAGCTTCAAATTCTCAGCAGCAATGGCGTCGCAACTTTCACTTTGCAGCTAGGGCAAATGGCCGATTTTTCCACTTTTATCTGTAATAAAATTGTTATTTCAGTGAAAATAAGGGGTATTTTGGTCAGTTTACACAAAAAAACTGAGGGCAAAATAGGTATGATAAAAATGGGATTAAATTGTCACAGGTGGGTGCCGGGATTTTTTTGTCCGAATTTCACCGATTAAAGCCTGCCACGTAGACGCCAAATCAGATTAAGCCTATCCCACTCCCGCGGAGTAAACGCGGGATAGCCGGGATTATTTCCCTTATCCTATCTCATTCCCTCAAAGTAAACGACCCCTCTGTGTATTACACATGTGTTTGCTAATTTTTTTTCTTAAAATCTAAAATTAATGAGAAAAAAGTAATTGAAATTTTATACCTTTTACAAAAATATATATATTATTATATATTTAGTATGACACATTTTATTTGTGCGACTTACCTGTATTATATTATAATAATATTTTAACTTACAACATATAACTACATTAAAAATAAATATATCATTTGATAAAGAATTTTATTTTTCTAATGAATTTTAATAAATATTATTATTTTTTATTATTATAAAGATAAATATAATTTATTTATTTCATATATACAATACAGATATGAAATAGAAGATCATCAAAAGATGATTAATTTGATATATAATATATGTAAACCCGATAGAAAATACAAAAGTTATCAACTTTTAAAATACATTTACAATTCAATAACTAATGGAAGAAAACAAATCAAAGTCAGAGATATATTAGTCACTTAGTGTCTCACTATGTAAAATTACAAATAATTAAAAGGTTATATTAGTAAAAGTCATATTAAAATACATAAGTTAGACAAATAATATTTATGGAATGTCCGCACCTAGATTATTAATTATTAATATATAAATATTATTTTTCTAAACCTAATTACGAAACATGATTATTCGCCAAGTAGGATTTCAAAGCACCAAAAGAAGCCACATAGGCTCAGCGCATTGAAAATTATATATAGGGAGGATTTTAAAGTGCAAAAAGCCATTTGAGGTCATAATTGGAAAAATTCTATGTAATACATGAAATTTTAGGTGCATTTTTGAAAGTTTTGAGAAGGCCAAAACGCCAGTTGTGCAGAACTTAATAAGTTTTATTATTATAAAACTATCAAAGTTTGCAATAATCTCTATTTAGGTGGTGATTTGATATGTAAAATATTTATTTTGGTAATATACTAATATCTATCTCATTGACATTATAAATCAATAGTAATGTTCTCCTACTTTCGGTGGACACATGTTAATATGCATATCTCTTATGTGGCATGCACACATTAGTGATGTTAATATGTTCAAAAAATACATCACTAATGTGTGCATGTCACATAAGCAGTAGATATATTAACATGTGCCTACCGTGAGTAGGGGATCATTACTATATAAATCGAACAAAAGTTTATAGATTTCCCACTTCTCTATCTCTATATCACTTATATTATGCCCTAAAACAAACATTTTCCAATTTTCCATCCCTATTTCATAACAAGACAAATTTCTAAAATCTAATGCACCATATTTACCTTGGCCTCTTAATTCTAATTTCCACCCAACACTATACTTCACAAGTAACAACAATGCTTTTTTTTTTCCCCAATGATAGATTTTATAACAAAAACACATAATACAACTAGAAAACAATTAGAATGAGCCAAACAGTCATCTAGCCTAATCGAGGGAAGCCTACACAAGATAGACATCATAATAACTACGATAACACACCCACAACACAAACAAACAAAACACTCACATATGGAAGAATCAAAACACTCCTATGTGGAAGAATCAAGTTTCAACGAGAATGCTTCTTAAACATACATAAAATATATTTAGGCTATGTTAAAATTAGTTGATAAGTTAGTTGATAACTGATAAGCTAGCTTATAGCTTATCGAAAATTTTCAAACTTATAGCTTATCGTTTATGACTTATAACTGAAAAGCTAGCTTATATGATACAAGTGTTTCGTAAAATTAGCTGATAAGCTTGCTAGAATAAAAAAATTAACTAGCTTATTTGAAAAGCTAACTAAACAAGCTTATCAAATAAGCTCGAGTTTTTTGAAAAAACTCACCTTACCAAACAAAACTTATTTGTCTATCAAACAGTCTTACATTTTTTTTTATTTTTTTTTAAATAGTTATCAAACTCATGTTTACATGTAAGAAGAAGAAGAAGAAGAACAACAATAAAAGATCTCAAAGCAGTCATATTCCGTCTCATCGCATCAGCAACAGGAAACATCCTCAAGATCACAATTCACAAGCATCTCCAATATACCCAAATTCCACAAATATGCCCAAACTCCACAGAATCTGTCAAGGCCAACACTAACATGCATGAACATCAACAAATTTTCCAATAGGAAACATAGGGGAAAAAAAGGAGGGAAAAAAAAAAGTATGACATAATATCCTCAAAACGAGATGAGATCATC